CGACCCCGGCCCGAGCCTCCCGCCGCTCCCGCTGCCTTATTTTTAGGCGGCGCGGCCCATGGGCTATTTCGAGCTGCAGCTGAGCGCGCTGCGGAACGTGAACGGGGAGCTGCTGAGCGGCGCCTGCTGTGACGGCGACGGCCGGACGACGCGCGCGGGGACCTGCGGCCACGACGAGTGCGACACGTACGTGCGCGTGTGCCTCAAGGAGTACCAGGCCAAGGTGACGCCCACGGGGCCCTGCAGCTACGGCCACGGCGCCACGCCCGTGCTGGGAGGCAACTCCTTCTACCTGCCCCCTGCGGGGGACCGAGCACGGGCGCGGGCGCGGGCCGGCGGCGGCGACCACGACCCGGGCCTCGTTGTCATCCCTTTCCAGTTCGCCTGGCCGGTAGGTGTGCGCCAACCTGCGCGCCCCACCCCCTCCCTGCGCGCTCGCGGTCGTCCCTGTCCCCTCCGCGTCCGCCGGGTCCAGGACTGGCTCTGCAGCCCCGGCTCCTGCGTGCGGGGCGTGCTCGCAGGGCGGGGCCGGCAGGGGGCGCCGCGGTAGACCCTGAGTGTGGGCTTTGTGGGCCCCGTCTGTGCCCAGGCCACGTGGGTGCGCGTGGGCCGCGGTGGGGACCCGGCATGGGGGCCCTGGTGGAGCCCCGGATGCCTTCCACGGCGTGTGCTTGCGCCGCCCTACGCGTGTCTGTCTGGTCGCCTGAGGCACGGGCAGGCCGTGCAGGCATGTGTGCCGCTTGCTCGTGCTGGGGCTGGTCCTGGGCAGGCCCTGGCAGAGCCGCCCTGTGCCCGAGGCCAGTCTGCGCTTCCTGGATGCTCCGGGGGCCTCGGGAGGGCGCGGTGAGTCCTGAGTTCTGATGGGCCTGGTTTTTGTGTTGGCCGAAGCTACAGGCGCTGGAGACCCCCAGGGGAAGCGATGCTGGATCTTGGTGTTGCCACCTGGCCGTGGTTTTGTTGTTTTATGAAGGATTTGTGATACGTGTAGGCTTTTTTTTGAAGGTTAGGGGCTGAGGCAAGGGGGCCTGGTGATGGTCAGTTAGGCAGATGCCCCAGCATGGACAAGCTGGGCGAATGAAGCCTCAGGAGAGAGCTGGGCTATCCAAGAATTTCTGGAGCTGGACTTGGTCTTTTCTGGAGCCAGGCCTGGGCGGGGCTTCCAGTTAGGGTGCTATGAACCTGTGTGTTATGGGTGGGCTGAAGGGCTGCACTGGGGTGGGGGCAGGAGTGGGAGGTCACACTGGGAAGTGGAACCCCATGTGGAGGAATAGGTCAGGGATCTAGGGTGGGGCGTGCTGGGAAGAGGTGAAAGATGTTGGGGGGGGAGGAATCTCTGGAGCAGAACCCCTCTTTGACCCAAGGTTTCTTAGTGTCCCAGCCAGTGGGTGGTACTAAGGGTCCATCCAGCAGGTGTCCTGGTCCTGAAAGAGTCCAGGGTTGGGTCAGTAGGGCCTACCCGGTTGCCAGCGGAGCCTGGCCAGCCGTGGCGCCAAGCCCTTGTCAGGTAATCCCTCCCAGCCTGGATGGTCCATCTTCATCCCTCCCTTTCCTCTGCTCTCTGTCCTCAGGCCCTAAGCGATCCCAGGACATCTGTGGGAAGAGCATCCCAGTTCAGTATAGGGCAGGTATGGGAGGCCAGCCCCGGGCGGTTGGATTGGCCCAGCCCCCGCGCCCCCACAGCCTGCAGAGCGGGCAGGTCTGTACAGGGCTCGCAGCCTGTCATCTGTGCTTGGGCCTGGGCCAGCGCGGCTCCAAATCGCTACCCGAGGATGTGTTTTCTGCTCAAGTTGGCAGCCGTGGGTGTGGGGGCAGGGCAGCCGGGAGGAATGCGGCGGGCCGGCGCGTGTCCCTCGTGGCCCTAGCCCTGCTGGCCGGCTGGCGGCGGGCGGGATGGGGCAGGCCCTGGCTTCCCTTGAGCCTCAGGGCCCCAGGTCCCAGCCAGCTTCCCTCCTTCCCCCTGCTCTTGACTGGGGACCTCCCATGGTAGGGGCTGGGGCCCCAGGGTGGTGGTGTGGAGGGCAGCTTGGTGTCCCTTCCTGCTGGTTAACTGTAGTGTGTGTTTGTTGATGTCATGAAGTACACTGGAATAGGGCCCATCTGGGAGAGGAGGGACTCTCCCTCAGGTGGAAGGGCATCTACCCAGGACCAGCTGGGATCCTGGGGCACCTGTATAGGCCTTTAGGATCCTGCTCCCCGAAGGTCTTGGGAAGTGAGCTGGGATCAGGCCTGTGAGGCAGAGGGGCTGGGAGCTCTGTGTGAATCCTCCTGCCCTCAGTCCTCTGCCCCCTTGATCCTCTGCATCTTGACCTGACCTTGTGCAGTGAAGTCTTCCTGGGGGTCTGGGTGACCCGTGGTACCATGTGGCCTCTGGCTCAGCATTCCATGAGTGGCAACCACCTCAATCAGAGGAGTGGCAGGTTAGGGTTCACTGCCCTCCTCTCTTACCTCGTCCCCCAGCTGACCCCCAGGAGGGCACTGACAGTGTGGGTTGACCTGGTATCTGACCTGTGGCAGTTTGCAGGGGTTAAGGGGGGTCTGCACATGTGTGGCAAGTGGCCGATGGAAGATTTGGCGGGTCACAGAAGCTTTCTGCTGAGACCTGCTGGGTGGGACTCACCCTCAGCCTGGGCCTTCTCCTGGGCGTCTCTTTGAAGGCAGGTGGTTTTGCCCCACTATGTAGAGCTGGGGTTGCATGTGGAGACCCTGGGTGCCTTCTTTGGGGTCTGTGGAGCAGGGTGAAGTTGCCACCTTGCTCAGGATCTGCTGATCTCCATCCATAGCCTGGCTTGCCCCCTTCCTCCCCCCCCGCCCCAGTGACTGCCAAGGCCTCTGAGGACCCGTGGTTGGTAAATGAGGGCTAGGCAGCGCCTGAGGGAGCGAGGCACTGGGGGCGCTGGGGCTGGGTTAGGAGGATCACCCTCTCAGCCTTGTGCCCTCTGAAAGGGGGCTCTGGTATGGGTGGTTCTGCCCTCCACCTTCCTGGAGGACACCTTCTTCTAGTTTGTTTCCTGATCCCCCTCTCATCCTCTTGAATGGGCCGTGTCTTCAGCCTACCAACTCCTGTTAGCCCTGAGGGGTTCAGCAGGCCTTCCTGAAGGAGTTGGGTCCAGGGTGCAGATGTAGACAGGTCTGGGTGTGAGCCCACTGGGTGCTGCCCGCCCCCATCTCCCCAGTCTGGACTTAGGGTGGATGGTACCCCATTTTGCACCCGGCACTGAGTCCCATTCTGCTCGCTGTGTCCACCCACCCAGCCAAACATGTAAGCTGTTCCAACCCATCCCTGCAGGAGGGAAAGGAGGTCACGTGTGGCCCGTGGACGGTGTGCAAGTGGGCTTGGAGTTTTGTTCCAAGCCATTGCAAGGATGCATTGGGCCAGTGAGGGTCTTTATGACAGGGAGTAGACCTGTGGTAGAGGTTTGCTGCAGGGGCCATGAAAGGGGTATGTGGCCTGTGGGGGTGGGGGTGCGGACTGTGGTTTGTTCTGGGTGATTGGGTGGGGTCAGGCTAGGCCCAGGAGAGGGGTCAGAGCTGGAGGGGCTAGTGCAGCCCCCAGACTTGAGTCAGTGTCTGTATGTCCAGACCTGAACCAGGGTTTTCATTCTAGGCCCAAACCTGGGTCCCTGTCCTCAAGTGTAAACTGGGAGCCCCTATTCTCCAGGCCTCAGCTGGAGTTTCTGTCTTCTGATTCCTGGCCCAAACCAGGTCCCTATCCCTGAGCTGGGGTTCCTAACTCCATCCCTTCAGCGCCTGGGTCCCTAAACTCTGACTCCAGGTCCAAACTGGGTCCTTATCCTTTGAATCTGGGTTTCTAACCTTCCCCCAAACCAGTGTCCCTGCATTTCCCACCTTGATGCCTTAGTCCCTAATTTCTGAGGTGTTAGGGACCCACAGCAGGGCTCTTGACTCTTGAGCCTTGGAGAGCACAGTGGGCAGAGCAGGTCCCGGTGTGCCCTGGGTCCCAGAGCAGGTGTCTGGGTTCCTGCCTGGGGTGGGCCTACGGTCCTACCCCCACAGGAGTGGCTATGACAACAGAGACCTGGGCCCCTCGGCGAATCGAGTTTCAGGAAATGGCAGCGGTACAGTGCTGTGCTCTGTGGGGGGCCAGTGACTTGTGTGTGTGTGTGTGTGTGTGTGTCGGGGGGGGAGGGGGACAGGCTGGAACCCATGGTCTGTGGGCAGTTCTTGGACGGTCGTGTTGAACTGCCCCTGTTACCCCCGTGCTCCACCTCTGGGATCCAAGACGCAGTAGGTGAGGTGTCGGACTGTTACCAGAAAGGTAACAGTCCGACACCTCATGTGGCAATGTGCTTCCGTTAAGAGTCCCACCTCGGATGCCTTATGGGGCGGTTCTACTCCGTTCTACAGGGTCTCTGGGAGTCAGCGTCCATGCTGATGCAGCACGTGGGTTCTGCTGGCACAGCCAGATCCTCAGACCACACGTCCAAACCGAGTGGTGGCCAGCGTAGCAACGTAGTGATAGGGTTTTTGGGTTTTCAGAGGTCTGGATTGGAGTGGAGGTTGTGGCTCAGGTTGGCAGTGGCTGAGACACAGAGGAATCCGGGCAGCTTGGGCTCCAGGAACTGAGGTTTTACAACTGAGCGGCCCCCAGCACTTCCCCCACAGACCCCTGCCCTGTCCTGGAGTGGCAGACCTGCCCTCACCCTCATGTCATGTATGGGTTTACATCAAGGGCACTCTGGACCCAGGTTGCTCCAGGCTGGATGGGCAGAGGACACTGAATCCTGGAAGGGGCAGCAGGCCCCAGGGGGAAGAAGGGGGCTCAGGTTCTCTCTGGATGGCTCCCTGCTACCCAGGTGTGCAGAGCCCAGCTGGCGGGCGGCAGGGCCGTGTGGTGGGCGGGCAGTGTCAGTAACCTGAGCCCTGGGCTCTGGTGAAGGTGATGGTAATCCTACCTGGGCGGCTGGCGTGGGGTTTCCTGGGAGCTGGGAGGCGCTCCCTGCTGGCCCCAGAGTCCAGGTGTGGCCATACAGGATGCCAGAGCCTTGTGTTGGCCCATGGAGCTGGTCTAGCCTGGTGTGGCTAGACCCTGACCATGGGTGTCCTGTGGAGCCCCTGAAGCCTGTTCCCACCCGGCACTCACAGCTGTGTCACTATTAGAGCCTGTGGTCATCAGAGTCCATGCAGGAGCTGACCTGACCCCTCTGTCTCGTGTCCCACATGCTCTCCACCACGGGGGCCCCACATGGCCCCCTTGTCACCACCTCCAGGCCTTGTGCCAGGCCCTCCTGGTTGGAGCCCCTAGATGCGGGGATGTTTCCCTTCAGAATGACCTCCCCAAGGTTCTGCATATGGACTCTGGACTCCCTTCTCTTCTTTTCCTAAGTGCCACCAGGCAGAGACTATCATCCTCAATGGTCTAGCAATGCTTGTTGAATGAATGAACAAATGAACGAACCAACAAGTGAGTGTAGGAGGAGCCAGGGACTCCAGCTGGCACGGGGGGCACGGAGGCAGACAGGACCTGGCCGGGTAAAGGGAGGACTGAGAGCAGTGTTTCAGGTGGAGAGGCAGCGTGTGGGAAGTCCTCTGGGCTGGAGGCAGAGCCGGGAGGCTGGTTGGTTGGTTAGGGGAGGACAGGCTTCAAAGGCCAAGACGAGAGGCCACAGAGAGCTGTGAGCCGTGGGGAAATGTGTAGTATTCTGGGATTTGTTAGGGCTGGGGAGTGGACATGGGTCAGCCGGTGGGTTGGGTGGCCTGGTGACATGGGGTGAGGAGAGCGAGGTCCAGTCTATGTTGGTGGGTCACAGGTGTAGATGTGGGGCTGAGTGAGGCTCTGCACGTGTGTTTTAGGCTCAAGAGAGGAGGTGAACCTGGAGGTGATGAGGGTGGTCAGGGGTCTCTGAGACCATTTGTGGGTGGGAGCAGGCGCTGAGTGGAGAGGGGGTGGGGTGGAGTGGGGGAGTGCTAGCAGGTATTGGGTAGCTGTGGGGATAGCTGGTGGGGACAGGCTGTTTTCCAGGAGACAGCCAAGGCTTAGCGGGTGGGCTCTCCTTCCAGATGCTCTGAAGGTATAGTTCCTTTGGGCAGGCTGGCCAATCTTGTAGGTGAGATCTGACTGACCGTGATCCCCAGTTTGGGTAGGGGGAGGGTCCAGGCTTCCAGTGCCTTTGGAGGGCTGGATCAAGGACCAGTGGTTGGACAGATGGTGGTGGGGTCCATCCTGTCATCCACGTGTGCCTGTGAGTGCTGGGCACTGAGGTTGCTTACGGAGATGGGCTGACAGGACCATCTCATCATGGCTTCCTAGAACACACGGGCTGGATGGTCCTGAGAAGGGAGGGTGGCCACCGTCATACTGCGGCTGACCGACCTGCCTCGGGCCTCACTTTCCCCAAGTATCCAGCATGCGTCTCCCCCCCCTTTTCACATGGCCTCGGTTGGTACGCCGTGTCTACTGCACACCTGCTTTGGGACGCAGTACCAGGGTAGCAGAGCGTGTGCCCTGCAGTGGGCTTGTTCTCAACTGAGGGGCAGCTGGTGGTGTCTGGACATTTGTCCGTCTTGGGGGAGGGGGGGCTGGGAGCAGGACCTGGTGTTCCCCACCAGAGAATGGATCCAGGATGGGTGTGGGGGATTCCAGTCCCAGGTCTCTCCCTGGGCCCTGGCAGCTTTCTCCCCAGCACCCAGGGCTGGTTAGCTGTTGCTTCCCTCAGGACCCTTGTCCTGAGGGGATGAGATGTGGGGAGAAGGGGACCCAGAGTCCTGACAGACACAGAGAGCACCGGGGAAGTGGGAGCCAGTTCAAGGGTGTGATAGGACCTCTGCGCTCCATCTGATTGGCCCCCTCCCTGTGCCCACAGCGCTCCTTCACCCTCATTGTAGAAGCCTGGGATTGGGACAATACCACCCACCAAAATGGTGAGTAAACCCAGAGGGAACGGACTGCCCTCGGCCTTAGAGCCCACGTTGCTGGTCTTTTGCCAGGACAGAGGCTCCTGTGCCTGGAAATTTCTTTACCCAGGGAATTTGTGTGCTGTTTCTCTTTTTGCCCTGGCTGCCAGGGAGCTCTGCCACATTTGAGCTTTGCAGAGCTCTGCATGTACTGACCTTCAGGTGCTACTTTTGTTTCTGTCTTGTTGGCCATGTTCTTTTGGACCCATGTCTGATCCGTGTAGAGTGGGATCTCCTCTAGATGCTCTCTCTGCCTTTGTGGCCCCCTCAATCACTCCTCAAGCCTTCCTGGCTAGTCTGCACAGGAGGAGTCTTGGGGGGTAGGTGTGAGGGGGAAGAGAACCAAGAAGGCTTTGCGATGGTTTGAGGGCCTCAGGGATGCATGGGACCAGCATAAAAGTCAAGGGTGAGTCTGTTATGTTTGAGGAGCAGCACAGAGCTCTGTAAACAGGTCAGACCCCCTAGACCTGAGGGTTACCATGAGGATATCGTATGGCCTACTTGGACCACCATGTGGAGGTTAGCCTTGTGGGTCAACGTGCATGAGAACTGAGTTGAGGAATCCTGGGTCCAGGACGGCTCTGGAGGAGGCAAGAGGAGTCTGGTGTGGGTGAGGGAGAGGGGCCAGGAGGGAGGTGGAGTGAGGTGCAAGTTTGACAGCCCAGCATCAGAAGTGCCTGTGGACCACCTGAGGGTCCCTGGACCCCTAGTCAGACTGAGCCCTGGGGTGCACCAGTGTTCTGGTGCTGGGAAGACAAGGAGGGGCACCCAGGGAAGGTGTCCCTAGGAGGAAATACCGAGGATGGGATGGTCAGGCTGAGACTGGAGGAGTGACTGGTGGTCAGCAGGTCATTGCAGACCCAGACAAGGACAGAGTTGTTCGTCTAGGGTGGGACTGGGATGGCGAGGGGCTGCACCTGAGGGTCCTTCAGCATTTATTATTAAGGGAAATACCAGGCCTGTGAAACGATGAGGATCTCACAGCCCCCACAGCTGTCCTATCACAGGTCCACACCTACCCTGGAGCACGAGACGCCTGTTTCAGATGAGGCGGTAGCAGGTGGTCACTACTGAGGACACCACCTACAGTGTGGGGAGGAGGGCAGCTGGAGCAATGGCCCTGTGTGGGCAAGGGGTGGACATGGCCCGCAAGTGGACACACAGGGCAGTACTAGGCACTGTGGCTGCTTCGGTAGAGCCCTGTGGACCCTTAGTGGTCATGGTGTGGGCCCTTAGTGGTCATGGTGTGGGCCCTTAGTGGTCATGGTGTGTTGAGGCAGGAGAGGGCAGCTGGCCTGGGCTGTCTGCAGTGTCAGCCAGGGCTACGAGTGTGGTGAACCCCCTGGGCTGAGAAATGCAGGTGGAGCAGTCATTCCAGGTTGGACCCTCTGCAGCTGACCCCATAATTGGGGCTGAGAAGAGGTCTACCCCAGCGTGACCTCTGAGGGTGACTGGTGGGCCTTGGTGCATGCAAGGAAGTGAGACAGAGGCCAAGGACGCTGAGGCGCCGTTCAGTTCTGAGACTATCCAGATTGGGAGAGGGATAGGGGTCTTGGGCTGGCCTTGACCCAAGAGGTCCCTGACTCAATTAGGAGAGCTTGACACGTCCCCTCTTGCCCACCAGAGTGCCCCCACTGTGGCTTAGCTCTGCTTTTCCTGCAGGCTCCCAAACATCCCCCACATCTGCACTGGGTTGGGGGATGAACTGCTAGACACTCGCCAGACCCTGTGTCCTGCCTGGCTAGTGTCCATGTGTCCTGGGTTCTGCTGTCTGTCCAACCCCCAGAGGCTCCCTGGCTGGGTTCCTTTGGCCTTGTGGATACCCCAGTGGGGCAGTTCCTGGGTGGCAAACGGACTCTCTCCCTGCCTCCCCAAGAGGAGCTGCTGATTGAACGGGTATCCCACGCTGGCATGATTAACCCTGAGGACCGCTGGAAGAGCCTGCAGTTCAGTGGTCACGTGGCCCACCTCGAGCTTCAGATTCGGGTTCGCTGCAACGAGAACTACTACAGCCCCACCTGCAACAAGTTCTGCCGGCCCCGCCACGACTTCTTCGGCCACTACACCTGTGACCAGTATGGCAACAAGGCCTGCATGGACGGCTGGATGGGCAAGGAATGCAAGGATGGTGAGTGGCCGCCCTGGCAGTGCCCACACTGGCCGCCCCTGAGATCCTGGGCTGCAGCGGGCTTTTCTCTCTGTTCACAGCTGTGTGCAAACAAGGGTGCAACCTGCTCCATGGGGGCTGCAGTCTGCCAGGGGAGTGCAGGTGAGTCCCGGTGCGAGCCACAGCCACATTCGGGGGTCATGAGGGTTTTCATTGTCTACACAGGTGATACGTCACTGAGGGTAGCCAGGCAAGGGAAGAGAGGGCCCAGGCAAGGTTGAGATCCGCTCTGGGGCATTCTGCAGACATGGGAGGCCTTGAACCCCCCAGAGGATGGTTGGGGTGTCCCAGCAAGGAGGGGCAACAGAGGTCTGGGGCAGCAGGTGGAAGAGGAAGATCTGCTCCCCTCAAGGAGAGGATGGTGTTAGAGGGTTTGGAGGCAGAGGGGAGGGGCTGCCAGACAGGCTGCTCTGAGGAGCCACAGTGGGGAGTGAAAGGTGGGTGGGCCCCGCATTCTGGGACTTAGGGGTGGGCTGATGCTGTGTTGGTCAGGTTGTAAAACAGAGTAGAACTGCCCCATAGGGTCCCCAGGGCTGTAATCCCATAGAAGTAGATAGCCACATTGGTCTCCTAAGGAGCCGCTGGTAGCTTTGAACTGCTGACCTTTTGGTTAGCAGTCAAACATGTAACCACTACGTCACTGTGGGTTTAATGGCAATGGGATTTGATGTACCTGGGAGAAGAGACGGGGTCAGAGTCCCCCAGGCCTCTCAGCCAGAGCTGATGAAGAGCCGTGCTGCTGGATCTCAGAGAAAGGCCAACAAGAGGAAGAGGCAGGAGAGGGGACAGGGCTCCTTCTGGGGGTAATGTCTGAGGGAGGGGCCCTTGGACATTGTGGGTACCTTTGGTGTAGGCAGTGATGTTGAAGCCCCAAGGCTGAGGGCAGGTGGATAGGAAAAGACACACAGACGCTCCTTTGCCAAGGTCACTGTGAGTCGGAACCAACTCCACGGTACTTAACAACAACAATGAGAGTTGGCACGAACCAGAGTGACCCATGGGCCTCACTCACAACTCCAGTCTTCAGCACCTTTGAGGGTCCTTCTTGGCCCTGTGCCTTCTCATCCTCAGGAGGGCGGGGCTGAGGGTCCAAGGGTGCATCAGCAGGGATGGGCTCATGTCTTGGGGGACAAGCACCTCAGGAACTGTATTCAGAGTAGGGAGAGGTGGTTGTGATCTGGGCAGTTTTTCTCTTTAGCTGCCTTTGGCCTGTGTCTTCAGAATGACCATCAGAACTCTGAACAGACATTGTGAGGCCCCTCAGAGAGGGGATCCCCCACACTCACTCAGTGAGCACAGTAGGGCAGGATTAGCCGCCCCCCACTCTGCACAGTGGTGTGGGATTCCCCACCTTCAATCAGCACAGTAGGATAGCATCAACCTCTGCTCCCCCCACCAAACCAGAGCAGAGTGGGGCAGAATCCCCTTCCCTCAAAGAGCACAGGGGGGTGGGATTGCTCCCCCTAACTCAGAGAAAACAGTGGGGTAAGCTTATTCCCCCCTCAGGACAGTGGGGTGGGATTGGCTGTCCCCTCAGAAAGCACAGTGGGGTGGGCTTATCTCCCCTCAGCACATGGGGTCCGATCAATGCCCCCCCCCCCACAGTGGGATTAACCCCCCACATCTCTCCTGGTCCCTCTTGCAGTGTATAACTTCACTGACAGGCTTTCAGCCCTGACAGCAGGAATGCCCCCTAAATCGGGAGAGGGGAGAGTGGGACCTTTGCCTCGCCCCCTGCCGGCTGGGCAGGGAGGCCTGATGAGGAGGGGGGTTTCAGAGCGTAGGTGAGCCCCCGCCCACTGTCTCCCTGGCCCAGTGGGCAGGCCCAGCTGCTACTCGGCTCCGGTTTCAGCCCCGCCGGATGCCGCGGAGATGGCCCTGTCTTCCTGCCCTGGAGCCCCAGTGGGGAAACAGGGAAGTGGTCAGCCTGGTTGTGAACACACCCTGGGGACCTTTGGGGCCTAGGCTCCATCCAGTGCTGGGTGACCTAAGGCCTGTCACAGCCCTTCCCTGCACCCCGGTCTCCCCAGCTGTCAGGTACACAGAGGATGCTGGGGACACTATTGGCCTTTGAAGTGGGAACCGCCCTAAGGGTGGGTCTGGGCATCAGCGCTCTGTCTCACCAGCCTCGGTTTCCCCACACCCAGGCCGGCCGTGGGGCTGGAAGTCGGCTCAGGAAGGGCCGTGGCTTTTTCCTTTTACAAAAATAGCTTCACGTGGCAGGGGCTGGCGTGGAAGTGACGTGTCCTGAACGTCATTCCGTCCTGAAGGACCTGTGTGTTCTGGGAAAGGGGTCCTGGGGTACTGTCCAGGCCTGGGGGAACTACCCAGAAGCCAGGGTGTCTCTCCAGATGGGAGTCCCTGCTGGTCTTACCCCTTTGGGGGGTAACTAGCCCTCTGTTCACTGTGTTGTGGGTACAGACAGGGGGAAGGGGCAGGCACAAACTGGGCTGACTTGATGCCATCTGCCTGCCTGCCACTCCTACTTCCTTGGGGGGCTTTGGCGAAGAACACAGGTAGGGCTGAGCCTGGGGGGTCCTGGTCTCTCAAGGTGTGATGGGAGCACCCCCAGGGTCCAACACTACCCTGGATCTGACCTCAGACAGGGCTGGTTGCAGGGAGTAGCCTATAGGGCTTGGTATCCCCATCTGTGAAATGGGTCAATTACAGAGCTTTTTTTTGGCAGAGAGAAAGGTTGCTGCCCTTGAGTTACGGATGAGGTCATGAGTCTGTGCCCAAGGCCAAGAGGCCATGTCGGGGCTGGGAATCCTCTCCCACCACCCTGCAGCCTGCTTAGACCCTGGTGTCTCCTGGCCCTGTCAACACCTGCCGAGTCCAAGCTGGCATGTGCCTCCCTGAGGTCCCAGGAAGGCCTTCCTTTCCGGCCGGGTCTTAGGGCCCCAGTTCAGAGTGGAATCCCAAAATAGCTTAGGGGTAAGACTGACAGGACAGCTGGAGCTGACTGTCCAGCATCCAGCAGCCGGGAAATGCCTGTGACAGTGAGGCTGCCTGACTCCTGCCGGTGACCCCCGGCACCCCTGGGTTTGACTCTTCCCCTTACCCAGGTGCAACTACGGCTGGCAAGGGAAGTTCTGTGACGAATGTGTGCCCTACCCTGGCTGCGTGCACGGCAGCTGCGTGGTGCCTTGGCAGTGCACCTGTGAGACCAACTGGGGTGGCCTGCTGTGTGACAAAGGTGGGGGTCAGAGGTGGGGGGGCAGGGTGGGTGGAGCAGGGTTGTAGGCGAGCCTGATACTGACCACCCCGCCTCAGACCTCAACTACTGTGGCAGCCACCACCCGTGCACCAACGGCGGCACGTGCATCAACGCGGAGCCGGACCAGTACCTCTGTGCCTGCCCGGACGGCTACTCTGGCAAAAACTGCGAGCTAGGTATGCCAGACCTGGCAAATGGGGGTCTGCACTGTGGGCGGAGCTCTGTGTCCACTGGCCCCACCCACTTCTCCGCTCTCATCTTCTAGCTGAGCACGCGTGCGCCTCCAACCCCTGTGCCAACGGGGGCTCTTGCCACGAAGTGCCGTCAGGCTTCGAGTGCCACTGCCCCTCAGGCTGGAGCGGGCCCACCTGTGCGCTCGGTGAGTGCCCGGTGCGTGCCCGGTGCGTGCCTCGGAGGGAGGGCCATGGAGAGGGAGTGGAGGTCCCCCGTAGAGAGGAGCTTAGGAACATTGGACTAGTAGGTGAGCCGCCAAAGACCAGCGCGTACAAGTACCACAGGCCACTGCAGAAACCTGGTGTCATCCCCACCCGGAGAACCTCTTTGCCTCTTGCCTGCTTGTCAAAGGCTCGTGGACTGTGTGGCCTCACGCAGCTTCGCCCTTACAAGATCTTGCACCTTCTCGCCTCTCCTCCCCACGTGCAGTGACGCACGCACACTCATAACATAACCAGGCACCTTATCCCCCTCAACACCCGTTCCGCTCTTCCACCTGGCCCTTCGGGTGTCCTGACCTCCCCACGTGCTCCCACCAGCTCCCGGTGCAGGCCCGCCTCCCCATGACCCCGCCTCAGCCCTTTGACCCTCCTTTTCTTCTGTCAGCAGTACGAGGCCCCGCCTTCACGTGCCTCTGCCCGCCCTCTGGTTCCACATGGCCCCGCCTCCACGCGGCTCCCTTCTCTTTTTGCAGACGTTGACGAGTGCGCCTCGAACCCGTGTGCAGCGGGAGGCACCTGCGTGGATCAGGTGGATGGCTTCGAGTGCATCTGTCCAGAACAGTGGGTGGGGAGCACTTGTCAGCTGGGTAAGCACCCACTCCTCGTGGGCGTTGCAACGTGAATGCACCGTGAGCATGCCAGGCCGTGTGGGCTCGCTGTCGCTGCTGCCGCTGCCGCTGGTGTTGGGACGCACGGGCAGGCCAGCCCAGCATCTCTCCCTTGTCTCGTCCGCAGACGCCAATGAGTGTGAAGGGAAGCCGTGCGTTAATGCTTTCTCTTGCAAAAACCTGATTGGTGGCTATTACTGTGATTGTGTCCCGGGCTGGAAGGGCGCCAACTGCCACATCAGTTAGTACGGGGTGGGGCGCCGGGGGCAGGGCCGGGGACACCAGGACCTTTTGCGTGACCCCGTTCCTCTGTCCCTAGACATCAATGACTGTCGTGGGCAGTGTCAGCACGGTGGAACCTGCAAGGTGAGGCCAGGCTGGTCAGTGGGGCGGTGGACTGGGGCTTGGCTGGTGAGCCTCACTGACCACACCCCCACAGGACCTGGTGAGCGGGTACCAGTGTGTATGCCCTCGAGGCTTTGTTGGGCGGCACTGTGAGCTGGAGTGGGATGAGTGTGTCAGCAGCCCGTGTCGTGGGGGTGGTTTCTGCGAGGACCTTGTGGACGGCTTCCGTTGTCACTGCCCTAAAGGCCTGTCGGGACCCCTGTGTGAGGTGAGGGGGCCCTGGGGGGCTCATCATGGTAGGGTTTCTTCCTGACGGGGTGTGTAGGAGTCCTGAAGGCCTGCTAACTGCCTACCGGGGTAGATGCTGGTGGGCAGAGAAGTCCTGGGGGCCTCGGAGTGCGTTAGCTTGTTGGGGCTGGGGGCTGTTGGCCAGCGGTCTCCTGGCCCTTGGAGCCTTTACTCTGGGACGTGCTGAGGTGGAGGGGTGCCAGGAGCTGGCCTTCCTGCCTGCATGGGGACGAGGACCGGACGCTGTCTGCCAGGCAGAGGAAGCTGGTAACCCTGGAGGCGTAGGTGGCGGGAGGAGGCCTGGGGCCCACAGGTGTTTCCGGCCAGCTGACCGTGCCGAGGGCCCTGGCTGTCCAGCTGGGTTCCTGAGGACCAGCACTTGCCTTGCATGGAGGCTGGCCCATCTCTGGAGTCCCAGGCTGGGTCCTCACAGATGCTGCTGCCCACAGGTGGACATGAACCTCTGTGAGCCCAGTCCCTGCCAAAGTGGCGCCCGCTGCTACAACTTGGAGGGTGACTACTACTGCGCATGCCCCGACAACTTTGGCGGCAAGAACTGCTCGGTTCCCAGGGAGCCATGCCCTGGTGGGGCGTGCCGAGGTGGGCACAGGGCGGCCGGGGGTAGGGACGGACGGCGTGGCGTGGCGTGGCAGGCCTGATCCTACTCCATCATCTACTGCAGTCATCGACGGCTGCGGGTTGGAGGCGGGACCCCGAGGACCTGGGGCTGCGCCCTTGGGAGTGTGCGGCCCCCATGGGCACTGCGTCAGCCAGCCGGGCGGCAACTTCTCTTGTGTCTGCAACAGCGGCTTCACGGGCACTTACTGCCATGAGAGTGAGTGGCCGTGGGCGGGGGGACGGCTTCCGCTGGGAAGTGGGGAGCTGTGGCGCTCATATACCGCGCCTCTGCAGACATCGACGACTGCCTGGGCGGACCGTGTCTCAACGGGGGCACTTGCATCGATGAAGTGGACGCCTTCCGCTGTTTCTGCCCCAGTGGCTGGGAGGGCGAGCTTTGTGACATCAGTGAGTGAGAGTCACACCCAGTCCCTGCGGGCTGCCTGTGCTGGGGGCAGGAGGCCGTGTGTCTGCTGCCTGGTCCTCCCCGCTGACCGGCGTGCTCACCCCCAGATCCCAATGACTGCCTTCCTGACCCCTGCCACAGCCGTGGTCACTGCTATGACCTGGTCAATGACTTCTATTGTGTCTGCGACGACGGCTGGAAGGGCAAGACGTGCCACTCACGTGAGTGCTGCCCTGCGCGGGAGTCCCTCGCATGTCCCGGGGCTGGGGTGCAGCCTCTGCTGAGCCCCCCCCCCCCCCCCGTGTGCCCACAGGAGAGTTCCAGTGTGACACCTACACATGCGGTCACGGGGGCACCTGCTACGACAGTGGTGACAGCTTCCGTTGTGCCTGCCCCCCAGGCTGGAAGGGCAGCACCTGCAACATCGGTGAGGGTGGCACGGGTCCCCCCCACCCCGAGGTCTCCCCGTCTGGGCTGGGGTCTCCCCATCTGGGTTGGGGGTCTCCCCGTCTGGGTTGGCGTCTCCCCTTCTGGGCTGGGGTCTCCCCTTCTGGGCTGGGGTCTCCCCGTCTGGGCTGGGGTCTCCCCATCTGGGCTGGCGTCTCCCCTTCTGGGCTGACGTCTCCCTGTCTGGGCTGGGGTCTCCCCGTCTGGGTTGGGGTATCCCCGTCTGGGCTGGGGTCTCCCCGTCTGGGTTGTGGTCTCCCCGTCTGAACTGGGCTCTGGCCGGGTCAGCTGACATTGAACCGTTTTCTCTTCCCACTCTCCTCCCGCCTTGAAGCCGAGAACAGTAGCTGCTTGCCCAACCCCTGTAGGAATGGTGGCACTTGTGTGGGCAGCGGGGACTCCTTTTCTTGCATCTGCCGAGATGGCTGGGAGGGCCGCACCTGCACCCACAGTGAGCCTGGGGACTCGGGGAGCCTGGGGGTGGAGGGTCCTGCAAATCATGCACCCTACCAGCCAGGGCTCCTGCTGAAACACAGCCCCTCCACAGATTGGGACCCAACTGGCTCCCAGACTCCCTCCTTTCCTGGCTGGCCAGCTTGGCCTCTTCCAGGAACCCTTTCCTGGTCTTTCGTGTCCTCCTGCCCCATGGTATGGTTCCCCCAGGCTGGCGGTGTAGGAGTCTGGGGGATCCTGAAGGCTGGGGGACACAGACCTGGGGAGGTTTGAATGATCAATTTCTGTTGCCTTTCTTCTTGAACCCAGACACCAATGACTGCAATCCGTTGCCTTGGTGAGTGTCTGCCGGTGGCTGGGAGCTGGGGGTCTGGCTGGCACGGTGGTCCCCACTGGCGCTGACACTTTCCCTCACAGCTACAACGGTGGCGTCTGTGTGGACGGTATCAACTGGTTCCGCTGCGAATGTGCGCCCGGCTTTGCAGGCCCTGACTGCCGCATCAGTGAGTGGGCGAGGTGGAGCAGGGGCTCTGATAAGGGGGGCTGGAGTGTATAATCCACGGCCGTCCTTCCATGGCCTACCCCCTACTGCTCCAGGGCATACGGTGGGCATGCTGCCTCAGTTGTAGGAAAGCTCAGCAGGGCAGCCAGACAGGTCCCCTGGTCTCTGGCTTGTCCCTGCCCCCCATCCTGGGCCTGTGTGTGGCCCCACCTCTGCTGGCTGCTGAGCACCAGGTTTTTCTGCAGACATTGATGAATGTCAGTCTTCACCCTGCGCCTACGGAGCCACTTGTGTGGATGAGATCAACGGCTACCACTGCAGTTGCCCACCTGGTCGGGCCGGCCCGCGGTGCCAGGAAGGTGGTCCGGGTGCAGGGGTGGACTTGCTGGGTGAAGGGGGCCTTGTTGTGTTGGTCAGGGGCTGTATGTGGTGGGCTCAGGCACGCTGACCCCTAGCTTCTCCCACAGTGATTGGGTTTGGGCGGGCCTGCTGGTCCCGGGGTACACCCTTCCCGCACGGGAGCTCCTGGCTGGAGGATTGTAATAGCTGCCAATGCCTGGATGGCCGTCAGGACTGTAGCAAGGTGCGAGGGGCCATGGAGCCTAGGAGGGTGGGGGTCGGGGGACTGACCTCGTGGTATCCTGTTGGTCATCCATAAACCGGGTGGGTAAATTGCGCCTCAACCAGGGTGGGTGGTGGGTCATACCCCGGAGACCCCACCTAGCTCCCCCACTTGGACCCTAATTGTGTGTGTGTGTGTGCTATATTTACCTCAGGTGTGGTGTGGGTGGAAACCCTGCCTGCTGGCCGGCCGACCTGACACTCTAAGTGCCCAGTGCCCACCAGGGCATCAGTGCCAGGAGAAAGCCCCAGGTCAGTGCCTACAGCCACCCTGTGCAGCCTGGGGGGAGTGTGGCACTGAGGAGCCCCTTCCCCCCAACACACCCTGCCTGCCTCGCTCGGGCCATCTGGACAACAATTGTGCCCGCCTCACGCTTCGCTTTGACCGTGACCAAGTGCCCCAGGTAAGACCCTGTTTTCAGCTGTGCTGGCTGATTAGGCTGTGGTGTCAGCTCTCACTGTGGGGTCAGACAGGCCAGAACAGGGGTCCTTGTGGGCGAGCAAGTGTGGGGAGCTGAGAGTCCCAGGATAGCAGCATGGCCTGGTCACAGAATCCGTTCACGATGCCCGTTGGCTGGGCTGCTCCTGGACTGGTGGAGATTGGACTTGTAGCTCTGCCTGTCTGGACACTCCCCTTGGGGATTGGGGATTACCACATACCTCAGGGCTTCGCGGATGAGTGGGTCCGCCAGCCCTCTCATGGCCTTTGGCTCTGCCTAGGGCACCACCGTGGGCACTATTTGTGCTGGGATCCGCTCCCTGCCAGCCACCAGAGCTGTGGCCCGGGACCGCCTGCTAGTGTTGCTCTGTGACCGGGCACCCTCAGGGTCCAATGCTGTGGAGGTGGCCATGGTGAGTACATGGGGAACCACCACACCTGCTGCTCCCGGGCACCAATGGGATGGTGCTAGGGTGGGGACCAGGGCTGCAGGCGCTCAGTAGAGGAGTGTAGCCTGGGCAGACATGGTGGGAGTCAAAGGCCCACTGCTGACCCCAGCCCACATGTCCAGGCATGAGGGAGGCTGGATGCTGCTGGGCTCATATGAGGGCTGAGAAACCTAGGAGAGAGAAACGGGGAACGCCAGAGTGTTCTGAAATCATGGGAAGACCTAGAGCAACTTGGGGTGTAGGAAGATGTAGTGGGTGCCAAGAGGGCAGCTTCCTGAGAGGCTGGGACTGGGGGTGGTGGTCAGCTAGCTCATCCCTGTCTGCAGCAGGGGTGAGGAGGAATGTGAGGGTGTGGACCTGCAGACTGGGCAAGGGGAGTCCCTCTGCATTGTGTCCTGCCGTAGTCTTTCAGCCCGGCCAGGGACACTGGCGATAGCACGCTGGTCCAGAGCGCAGCCCAGGCCATTGTGGCCGCCATCACACGGCGAGGGAACAGCTCATTACTGCTGGCTGTCACTGAGGTCAAGGTGGAGACGGCCATACTGGACGGTTCCTCCACAGGTACCCCCGGACGGGGCGGGCTCCCTCAGACTGAGGGTACCCCGGGACAGGGCGGGCTCCCTCAGACTGAGGCACTGAAGGGTCCCTTCCATCCCTACCGTCCCAGCCCTCCTCTGGGACCCGCTCGGGCCTCCCCACAGGGTCAGCTGTGGGGACGGGGTGGAGGGCAGGTGCCCAGGTCACACCCTCAGCACTGCCCTTCGGCCACAGACCTGCTGGTACCTGTGCTGTGTGGTGTGTTCAGCGTGCTCTGGCTGGCCTGTATTGCCATCTGTGTGTGGTGGACCCGGAAGCGTAGAAAAGAACGGGAGCGGAGCCGGCTGCCTCGGGAGGAGAGCGCTAACAACCAGTGGGCTCCGCTCAACCCCATCCGCAACCCGATCGAGCGGCCGGGCAGCGGGGGCCTGGGTGGCGGTGGGGCCCACAAGGACGTGTTGTACCAATGCAAGAACTTCACGCCGCCCCCTCGCCGGGTGGGCGAGGCACTGCCTGGACCGGCAGGCCGTGGGAACAGTGAGGACGAGGAGGATGAGGAGCTGGGCCGAGGGGAGGAGGACTCCCCAGAGGCAGAGAAGTTCCTTTCACACAAATGCACCAAAGACCCAGGCTGTACGCCAGGGCGGCCAGCCCTCTGGGCCTCAGGCCCCAAAGTGGACAACCGCGCGGTCAGGAGCATCAACGACACCCGATATGTCAGCAAGGAATAGGGCTGCGGCGCCGGGCCGGTACCCTGCGCAGCCACCGGGCGTTGTGGAGGCTAGGCCGTTTGCAAAGTGTCTTTATTTTGTGTAAAAAAAGAAAAACAAAAGCAAAAAACAAATGTTTATTTTCTACGTTTCTTTAAGCTTGTATAAATTATTGGTAATGGTTGGACAGCAAGCAACGGAGTGTTCTCGGGGAGTTGCTATTTTTGTAAAGTTTCCCGGTGTCACCCCCACTGGGATGACAGAGCACAGTGAGGGGGGAGGCTGGCTGTGTTTTCACCAAATCGTATAATGTTTGCTACCAGAGGTTGTACTGTTTACACAATCTTCCTTTGTATTCCTCACTTGGGTTTCCAGGCCAGAGGGCTGGCCGTCGTGGCCCACAGTCCGTGGCATGGCCGTTGTGGTCTGTGGCGGTCAGTGGGACCCATGGCTGTGGGAGAGGCCGGTGCCTGCTGTCCCCACTTCCTCCTCCTGAGGTCTCAACTGTGCTTCAGAAGTGCCCTTCCTGCAGCCCTGCCCCTGGGGGTGGCGGCTGACCAGTGCCTTTACAGACTACTCCCATGACTGGCAGTGTCCACCGCGGGCACCAGGCCCCGCCCCGCCGCCCCTCCCGGTGTAAGTGCATTTTTGTAAATATGTAAATATTAAATGAATCACTCTGTATATTTGATTTAATAATTTAAACGTTTTGGCCTCCCTTGTTCCTTGGACGCTGTTCCTTTTTTCTTTGGAGTCGCGGTGGGGGCAGGGTGGTGCAGGACAGTGGGGCCACAGGGTGTTGTGAGGGTGGACGGTCCTGCTGCCACCAGGGCCTGAGAGTATGTAGTCGTTTTGTGGGGGCTGATGAGGCCTGAGGAGAGCTTTTGTGCTAAAACTACTTTAAAAAGCTTTACATTGTTGTTAAGTGCCATCGATTCGGTTCCGACCCATAGTGTCCCTGTATAGGGTTTCCAGGGAGCGGCTGGTGAGCTTGAACTGCCGACCTTGTGGTTCAAACTGATTTTGCAGTCCAGCACATTGGCCCACAGCACCACACAGGACTCCACAAAGCTTTCTAAAAGAGTTCTCTGTGCTTGAGCCTGAGCTTCAAGCTAGTAAGGGGGTTGTGTAAGGGTCCTGGACGCTGCTTTTACTTCTCCCTGATGGAGCAAACTGGCCCAGTGGCTTGGTAGCCTCCAGGGCTGAGGTGGCAAAGGTCACCTCCGAGGCAACTTGTCCCCTCCTGTGCCAATCTGGATTCCCCACAAGGGGCCCAGGTGGTGGACAGAGTCAGGCAACAAAGCCAAGAATAGGATTTCTGAGAAGAGTGCACACAGCCTGGGCATGTGGTTGGGTGAGCTGACCCGCTGGTCATAGCAAAGAGGCTATTCTGGGCCACCACCACCCTTAGGAAGGAGCCCTGGTGATGCAGTGGGCTAAGCATTGGTATAATAATTACATTGTCAGAGGTTCAAACCTACCCGCTGCTCCATGGGAGAAAGATGAGGCTGTCTACTCCTAGAAATCTATTGTCTCAGAAACCCTATCTGAATCGGAATTAACTTGAAGGAATGGGTTTGATTTGAATTTGGTCCTTGAGGGGTTCCAGAGCCTCTAGAAGGGCTGAGTGACACATGAATGAGCCATCTTGGGATGAAGACCTGGGTCTTCCATCAGCTCCTCCACCGTGGAGAGGGCACACCCGGGGACCGAGAGGCTGGGCGCCAAAGGTATGTGCTCTCAAGATGATGGAGCCAGAGGCAAATCCTTCTTCCTCGTTGCAGGAAAAACTTCAGGCAGATCAATTGGAAAAGTCTGCCCTGAAGAAGTTGCAGTTTGTGATAGATGTGTGTAGACAGCCATGCTTCTACCACGGGGCTGACCAGAAAAACTTCCAGCCTTGAAATTAAACAGCAGTTACCTAATACCTGGTAGAATGCAAATGAATTTATTTCAGGTCTCTGTACTCAGTTTGTCAATGAGCAGACCATAGCCTAAACAACCATGCACACAGGGGAACCCAGAGCCATGAGCAAGAACCTTCAGAAACAATTGCACGGTTATCAGATCGATATTGGAACTCTCCGATAGCTTGCTGACTGTGCTCCAGGAAGGAAAATGTTGTTGCTAAGTGCTACCGAGTTAGTTCCGACTCATAGCGACCCTGTATAAGGCTTCCAAGGAGCAGCTGTGAGTCCAAACCGCCAACATTGCAGTTCAAACTGACCTTACAGTCCAGTGCTTTATCCCACAGCACCACACCAGAACAGGCTTGTAAATTCCGACAGGTCCATGGAAAATAACCTGGCAGATTTGAAAAAGAAACAAGTAGACCTTTCTGAGATGAAAAATATCCGATCTTCAAACTCAAAATCAAGGACACTGCTGAAGATAAGAGAAGTAAGGAGAAAATTTCCAGCACGCAGCCCAAGGAAATAAAAAGGAGAGGTCCGAAGCTGCCTGAGGGGCAGTGTGCCTGGTGGGGACTGTCCTGAACTGAGCAGCGCTGGGTAGGGTAGGGAGCAATGAGAGCAGGGATGAGCAGGTGCAGCAGGGTTCAGGCTGCATAAGTTCTCTGTGGACAGAGAGATACCGACTTTCACCTTTGGGGCTGCTAGCACACTGCCCAGACTCTGGAAAGCCCCCGAGGTAGAGGTATGCAGCCTTTAGGGGGTCTGGGGCTTGGGGGGTTCACAGGACAAGGCTGGGCCTCCGTACTTGCTCAGGAGAGAGACCGTTGTCACAGGTGGGAGCAGGTAGCAACTGCAGTGCATCTTACACCAAGTTTGCAGTTGCCCGTGTATGCATGCACTTATATATGTACGCATGTGTGTACATGTATAGGTGTCCTTGTTTGTGTATGTTGTTGTTGTTATTAAGTGCTGTCGATTCGATTCTGACCCATAGTGACCCTGCATAGGTTTTCCAAGGAGCAGTTTGGTGAGCTTGATCTATCGACCTTGTAGTTCAAACGACTTTGCAATCTGATGCATGAATCCACAGCACCAAGTACACCCTTATATGCATGTGCATACGTGTACATTCACAACACACCTATATGTATGCATACATGCACTAATTGTGTGTGTGCATGCATGTAACCACACATTGTGTGCATGGTCGGTGCATATTTATACATGCATGTGCACACGTGCACACCCATACACATAGGTGTATGTGCACATGCACAAATTATGTGTGTGCACATGGTGTACATGAGCACACATCATTATATGCATGTGAATGGCATATTTATACATTCATGTACACACCCACACAATAGTTATATATGCACTGTACATGCATGAATCATATGTGTGCACACGAGCATGCACTGCCACATGCATGTTCATGTGTGCACATTCATACAAGCATATGCACACACGCACACACACAATGCTTATATATGCATACATGCACAAATCATGCACACACATGTTATATTCATGTTCGGGCGTGCACATTCACACATGTGGGCACACGTGTAGAGCACATGTGCAGCCACAACACGCATGTATTGTACACACAGGAATCATGTGTGCATGTGTGCACACAAGCACCTGTTATTTGCATGTTCATGTGTGCGTGTTTGTACATGCACGTTACACCATGTGGGCCAAACATATGTACTTAAGTGTGTGCGTGTACACACGAATCACATGTGCACATGGACATGCATTATATGTACATCTTGTGTATTTATACATGCATATGTGCACATGCATGCACTCCTTATATATGTTTGTGCACATGTGAACATGCATTGTTGTTGTTAAGTGCCATCAACTTGATTCCAACTCAGTGACACAGTACAGGGTTTCTGATGAGAAGCTGGTGGTTTTGAATAGTTGATCTTGTGGTTCACAGTCCAGTACTTATCCTACAGTGCCACACCAGGAGGTGTGTGCACATGTGTACATACATATGAACCCTCTCGTGTGCACATGTTTATACATTCTTCTCTGTGTGCATGCATGTACATCCATATGTGTGCATATACATGCCACTGTATGTATTATGTGTATATATATATATGATCATGGTGGCTCTGTAGGATAAGCACTGGACTGCCAACCACAAGGTCAGCAGTTCAAGCCCATCAGCCTCTGTGCAGGAGAATGATGAGGTTTTCTGCTCCTGCAAAGATATCTGGCCTCAGAAACCTTATACAGCACCACTATGGGTTAGAACCAACCTGATGGCACTTTAAAACAACACTATACATGCCTGTATATGTGTGGAGTGGGGGGGTAAATGCGCTGGACTGCAAGATTGGTTTGAACTGCAAAGCCGGCAGTTCAAGCTCACCAGCCACTCCTAGCAAACCCTATATAGGGTCGCTATGAGTCAGAACAAACTCAGTGGCAATTAACAATAACAACATACGTGTGCATGTCATGCATGAGTATACGTGTTTGTATACACACCCACCGACATGTGTACACATGCTGCACTTCAACACACGCAGACACATGCATATATGCACGTGTGCCTTATATGCATGCACATGTGCGCGCGCGCGCGCACACACACACACACACGTTAGGTCTTAGTTTTCTAGTGTTGTTATAACAGAAATATCATGGGTGGATGGCTTTAAAAAACAGAAATGTATTCTCTCAGAATTTAGGTGGCTACAAGTCCCCATTCAGAGAGCCGGCTCTAGGGGAGAGCTCTCTGTGAGCTCTGGGGAACAGTCCTTGTCTCATTTCAGCATCGGAAGACCCAGCATTTCCTGGAAATGTCCAAGTGTCTTGGTATTAATCTTCCTCTGGGTCAAGGAGCTTCACAGTGCAGGGACCCCAGAACCAGACACACTCCGCTCCTGCCTCTTCTTGGTGGTAATTGTTGTGAGAAGAGATGGGTTCCAACTCATAACGACCCTGTGAGCAAGAGAATGAAACACCGCACAGTCCTGTGCCATCCTCACAATCATTGCTATAGTTGAGTCCAGTGCTGCCGCTGCCACTGTGCCATTTCGCTGAGAGTCTTCCTCTTTACCATGTGTGATGTCCTTCTCC